CTGGGTCTGTGTGGCTGTTGCTGTGTGTGTGTGTGTGTGTGTGTGTGTGTGTGTGTGTATGTGTGTGTATATACATATACATATGTGTGTATATATATTTATATAATATATATATATATATATATATGTTATATATATATTGTTTAAGCTTTCTGGTTATGTATATGATTTCAAGATAAAGTCTAACCTGCTAGTTTAAGCATTGAAAATTCCATAATTTGGGCCAGCAGGTGATGTGGAAGTTAAGGCACTGGATCCTGAGTGGCTGACTGTGCAATTTGAGTCCCAATCCTAGTGGCTGGGAAAATACCCTGGACAAATGTGTATGCATACTCAAGATCCCAAGAATGGAGGAGAAGGGATTGTGGAGTGGCCATCCCTGCTCAGGGCTGATTTCTCACTCTCCCTCCCTCTCTCTATCTCTGACAGGCGCATGTGCCCTGTAGCAAAACTAGAAAAAAAGAAATTCCATAATTAGCATTGATTCACACACAAGTCACATTGTATGCTAAAGCTTCAGAAGATGTTCATTTTTATATCTTTCTGCCTTCCTACTTGTGAAATTTCTTCTATAAATATTCCTAGCTTTTTTTAAAGAATTATTTTAATTTGACCAGAGAGGAATACAGTGAGAGAGAGGGAAAATGAGAAAGCAGGTGTCCAGGTCTGGGGCTCAAACCTCAGTCGGCCATGTGGGAGTCCAGTGTCCTAACCACCATGCCACCAGCCGGCCCTTCTTAGCTTAACTTCTAAAGTACTGTAATTAGGACAATTAACCTGAAATTTTATATACATTTTTGAAAATAAGAAATTTTATTTGAATTTCCAAATTCTGTGATTCAAGATTTAATGTTTAAAATGGCTTACCCTTTGTAAAGTGTCTTTTCTTTGTCTTAGCCATCCAGTATTATTTTAGAAGAAGACCATAAAGCAGAAGAATCCTGTGTCATTATAAACAACAAGGAAGCTTTTAGTGTAAGTCTGGACACTTCGGTTTGTAATTCTACGGAAATACGTTTCCTATCCTATGTCAGTTGGGTGGCATAGTCTGGTGTCGTCAAATGGTCACAACGTTCTTCCGCTGTAAACAGCAGTGCAGACTGCAGACTTCAGCTTCTGAATATCATCCTCTGCCCTTCAGTAGTTGCACTGCGTTTTCCACACAGCCGACTTGCTTTGGAGGTCTTGTCTTTGTAAGCAGTCTTTCCATGTTTATTTCCAAGAACTTGGAGGAAAGTAGAGAAGCATGCTTGTTGAATTACAGATGGATGGAAGTGAGATGGATAGGTGGTAACAGCAAAGGTGGATTCTGAATTTAAAATGCTGTGAGGCTCAACTGGTGGGTGAAGCGCTCTGCTGTACTTCAGATAGCGAGCAGTGGCCCTGCACTTAGGCCTTTCTGAACCTATGCGAAGTTCAGCAGTGTCAATAGAAGGTAGCGGTGTGATTTGGGGCTCACCCTTTTTTTAAGAAAGACACTATAATCTTGCAGTGTACGAAAAGAACACTGGTTTTGATGTTAATGGAGTGTTACTCCCCTGTTGATATTCCATAATTTTCAAGACACGAGACGGCTGGGATAATGAAGAGCCCACAAACTTTATCGAGAAGATTGTTTATAGAGGGTGGCACATCTCTAGAAATATGATAAAAGCTGTTATTTAGATCACTCTATAGTGGCAAGTGACAGAATTAGGACCAGTGGTTCAATTGAGTACAAAGAGGTACGTTTCAACTCCGCTGTTGGAGAGCTGGCCTTTCTGTCAGAGATGTGAAAAATAAAGTGGTATCTCTTTAAAAAAAAAAAAAACAGTAAGTGCCATTGTACTGGACTCACATAAAGACAGGGTGATCTCAGAGCACTTCAGATAAAGACTTCTCAAGTTGAACTAAGGAACTTTTCATTTTAAGAAATACCAGTAACTGTTTACTGAATGATGCTCTGGACCAGGGGTAGTTCCGGAGACACAGCAGTGGGATAAAAAGGAAGTCTTGACTCACTGGGAGAAGGCAGTGCTCTCAAAAAATAAAGCATGGTCAGGGGTTGGAGAGTAACTGGGGTCGGGGGCTTGTAGATGGACACTTAGGGACTGCCACCCTAAGCCAAGACCTGGGCGCGTGGGGGAGCGTGCCGAGTGCAGGTTACGTGAAGAGTACCCTTGGCGGTTGGGAGATTAAGCGGACAGCTCCGAGCAGAAGTGCACGCCAGGTCCTGCGACCTCGGTTCTAAGCACGTTTTAGCTTTGCTCATTAAGATGCCACTAGTATTCCCACCTCGCAGGAGAGGGAACACATGGAAAGCCAAGTGCCCGTGGGCCAGGGGATGACAGAGCCAGGGCCTGGAGGAGTCAGAGCCTGGGGTGATAGGATCTGAATCCTTGAGGACTCAAGGTTTTACTCTGGCTGAGAAAGATGAGAAGCCATTGGAGAGTTCCAAGTAGAAACAGGACATGATGTAAGATTTGAATTTTAAAAGATTGTGATTCTGTTCCAAATTGGAGAGTAGTCAGTAGCCGCTTCTATGCAGAAGCTGGGAAACGGGAAGTCGTATTAATCGGGTGAGGAGAGGTGACATCTGGGACCGGGGCACTGTTGGTAGGTGGCTAGACCTGGATGTACTTGGAAGGCAGAGCTGAGCAGAGACATTGACTAGCGCGTTGCCTGTGAGGGCAGGCAAGCAGTCAGCGTGACTCCGGTCTCTGTGGCGGGGAGGACACTAGGACCCCGTGCAGTTTTAAACAGGTGACTCGGAGGTGCCTGTTAGGTCTCCATGGAGAGCCATGGAGACAGCACTTGAGGATGGTTCGAGTTTGGCATTCAGGAGGGGTCACAGCTTGACCTTTGGTGGTGGCGGGCATGTGACATTCCTTACCACGGATCTGGATGAACTCTGCAGTGAAAGTCCAGAAGGGCCAGATTCTGGGCCCTGGGCGATGCTGCGTGTAGAGGACAGGGAAGTAGAGGGGCCCGCAGAGCAGACCCGGGCATAGTCGGGAGGTAGGTGGGACGCCGGGGAACAGGTCCTGGAAGCCGAGCAGAGCGTTTCCAGGAGGAAGGAAGAATCCACCTTGTCTGCGTCCTTGCTGAAGGTGGAGGAGGACGAGATCCAGACCGTCCATTGAATCCCGCTGCAGAAGTCCTTGGGCTCTCCGCGGCCGAGCGACTGAGTGCAGTGACTTAACAGAATTACTGGGAGTGTTTGACAGGGTCACTGCCAGGGCTTTCTGGTTTTCTATTTTAAAAGTGGAGAGAATGTTCTAGATCTTAAAAAGACTCGAGATGTAACATGTAAAAGCAGCATGTGAACCTTTCATCAAATCATGACTTGGAAAAATTTATGAAACACATTTTGGGCTGGAGAAAACTAAACACGGATTAGACACAGATGGTGTCAGGGAGCTGTTGGTTAACGGCCTTAGGTGTGGCAGTGGCAGTGGTGGTGTGGGCACAGAATACTCCTCCTAGAGCCCCGTGCTGACGTGCTTAGAGATGAAGCGTCGGCTGCCGACTCCGACCCTCAAGGGGTGCGGTGAGGAGGCCGTGTGTAGGACACCGCCCAGTGTCACACTAGGTGACGGGGACCTTGCCCCGAATCTGAACTTGTCTGCATGCATTTCTCCCCAGAAATGGAGGGGAAAGAAAACTGAATGGGAAATAGTAAATATGGGGTCTGAAGCTCCCACTGCAAAGAGGAGCAGAGAATTGGGAAACGGGGGAAATGTGAGCGGCAAGGTTTTACTTCGTGTAAGAGTTCTGGAGGGAGCGCGGCCATGGCAGTGAGCCAGTGCGGAGGACAAGCTGGATGGTCCGGGGAGGGGAAGCGTGAACACGGAGCTTTCGCTTAGTATCAGAGCCCGGCTCCTTTAACTGGGGAGTGGATTACTATTTCTAATCATTTCCTCCAAAACAAATTGTCAAGTAGCTAATCATAATCTTACATTATTTAATGTCTTTTTTTGGTTAAATAGCAATATTTTTTGACTTGTTTTCTGCAGGTCGTAGGAAGTGTCCTGTATTTTACTAATTTTTGCCTTGATAAGTTGGGGCAGCCACTCCTAAATGAAAACCCTCAGCTTACGGAAGGATGGGAAATACCCAAGTATCCTACATAGTGAATGGAGATCTTCCATGCACCTTGCTGCTAAGTTCACCTTTTAAACACTGTACCAAATTTTGCAGACTATGATAACTATTCCTTAATAAAGTTCACTAAAGGTACCAGCAAGTCTTCAGCCACATTGTTTCTCTAGAAGGGCAAGAAATACAAGTAAAGGCAAAAAGGTTTGTGTGGGGATTTGTTTTGTTTCTCTTTCTCTCTCTCTCTCTCTCTCTCTCTCTCTCTTCTTCTTCTTCTTAACCAAAGGTCATAAACTCTTTTGGCTTCAAAAAGTTAGTGTTTTTGATTGCTGGTTTGCTGATAGATGGAGCTAAAACGTCAGATCGTAGGCATAGATTGAACGTCTAAATCGGCCATCTGTGTCTTGAGCCCTGCTGTGCCTGGGTGGGTGGGAAGGTGTCGTCGTTGCTGTCACTCTGCTTGCTGTCATAACCATCTGCCTTCTTCCCCTGTTACGTAATGGAAATAGGATCTGTTTGCCTTGCTTCTTCTGTTATTAGTCACTGACAGAACTAAAAAGTGGTAACAGATCAGTCAGGAACCGAATGGTTCTTGGTTAAAAGACGCCACAAGACACTTGATTTGTCTGAGTAAGTACGAGAGTTGTGAGAGCTACCACCAGGAGTTAGTGATCTGTGAGCTACTGGCTTTCTTGTCTTTCTGGTACACTTTACTGTCGTACAGGGTTTTCTGGACTACTTTTATATCTTCATTTACATTACGAGAAATCTGTTTTTGACCAACAGGCCAAAGCCTCACTGTTTCAATTGTGGTTCTGAAGAGCATCACATAAAAGAGTGCCCGATGGTAAGTCATTCTCACGTAAAACTGCCCTCGCACCCAGGCCTTTAGCTTGTAAGCGTATTTATGGCCCCGCATGACGCAAAGAAATCTTTCAAATTTGTATCTACAGCTTAAGATATTAACTTATTTTTTTTGAGAGGTGTTTGCTATGGGGCACGTGTGCTTGCCAGAAGGACAAAGAGAGAGAGAGAGACAGAAAGCAAGAAATTACCCCCTAGGGGGGATGGCCACTCCGCAATCCCTTCTCCTCCATTCTCCTCTCAGGACCTTTGGCACGCACGCACATGCACCCAGCGTGAGTTTAAGCCATCGGATCTGGGACTCAGACCGTGGTCAACTACATGGGAGTCCAGCGATGTAGCCATTACACCAACTGCTGGTCCCAGCTTTCATGTAATTTTTCAATTTGAAATCTTTCAGATTTGTACCTACGGTTTAAGACATTAGCTTTTTTTTTTTTTTTCAGGATTGTTTAGCTTTTTATTTTTTATTTTTTTTTAAAGAGTTATTTTATTTAACTTTAACTTCATAGAGAAGGATAGAGTGAAAGAGAGAGGGAAAATGAGAAAACAAGCCGCCAGGTTCAGGACTTGAACCACGGTCAGCCATGTGTGACTCCAGTGTCCTTAACCACCACACCACCTGCTGGCCCCTATTTTTTATTTTACTTTTATTTGACCGGGAAGGGGAAAAAAAGCCACCAAGTTTGGGTCTCTAACCACTGTCAACCATGTGAGAGTCCAGTGCCCTTAACCACCACACCACCTGCTGGCTCCAACATTAACTTTTTTTTTTTAATTATTTTATTTAACTTTATTTATTTATTTTAATTTACTAGAGAGGGACAGAGTGAGAAAGAGAAAGCAAGTTACCAGGTCCAGGGCTTGAACCACAGTCAGACATGTGGGAGTCCAGTGCCTCAACCACCACACCACTTGCTGGCCCTGCAACATTAACTTTTTTTAAAAATAGATTACAGCACTGTATTTCTGAGATGAATGAAACATTCAGACAAATTTTCTTTTTTTTTTTTTTTTTTCCCCTTGAAGAGGTTTTTGCTGTAGGGCGCATGTGCTCCCCAGAAAGACAGAGACAGAGACAAAAAGCGAGAAATCACCCCCGGTGGGGATGGCCACGCTGCAATCCCTTCTCCATTCTTTTCTCTGGATCTTGGGCACACACGCACACACACCGGAGACAAATTATTTTTTAATAATCATTAAATTATTTAAAAATAATCATTAAATTATTAAGCCTCTGCTTTTCTTCCCCCTAAAATAGCCATCTCTTATAGAAGGTCTCCAGGAAAATCATGACCTATTTTTCTGTCTTTCTAAGCAGAGATGTGTCATGACTTTCCCGATGACCCGGTGTTTGTTCCTGATACACTACAACTAAAACAATCTGCTTGGTCTTTTTAAATTTGCTACAGGGCGTGCCCTCACCAGAAAGAAATGAAGAGGGAGGGAACGGGAGAGAGAGATTCAGGGAAAGGGAGGAGTCACCCCCTGAAGAGGGATGACCACGCCGCAATCCTTTCTCCATTCTCAGGATTTTAGACGTGCACGCACGCGACAAATCCCCACACTAACCTTTTGGCCTTTACTAGTATTTCTTGCCCTGCTAGAGAAACGATGTCGCTGGAGATTTGCTGGTACCTTTAGTACCCAGTGTATTTCTCAAGCCACCGGGTCTGGGGATCAACCACGCACGCAGTCAGCCATGTGGGATCCACATGCCTTAACCAGCATGCCACCTGCTGGTCCCTGACAAAGTGTATTACTTACTAGAAGTGCATAAGGTAAATCTAACTTGCTCGATGTCACTCTTGAAACTTCCTGTGACTCAGCCTCGGAATGCTGCTCGAATCAGCGAGAAAAGGAAGGAGTACATGGATGCCTGTGGTGAGGCAAACACCCCGAGCTTTCAGCAGCGATACCACGCAGAAGAGATAGAAGAAAGATTCGGAAGGTTCAAACCCGGAGTTATTAGGTAACACTGTCATTGTACTATAGATCATGGGTTTATTGCCCCAGTTCAGAATGTTCTTTGTATCTTCAGGGTAATTATCACGGTGTAAGTGGGTTTCACAAGGCCAGAAGTTACATACAGTAATCCATTAAAAAATACTATTGAGGGCCAGTCCCATGTCCAGTGGTTAAGGGAGCTGAATCCTGCATGGCCAACTGTGGTTTAAATCCTGGCTCTGGTGCTTAAACTCGCCAGCTACATGTGCATATGTGCCCAGGACCCCGATGGAAGGAGAAACAGGAGAAGGGGCCGCAGTGTGGCCGTGCCCCATTGGAGGTACTTTCTCGCTCGCGCTCTCCCTGGTGGTGTGAGACAGTCACGCCATAACCCCTTCTCCTCCACTCTCTAATCAGCATTTGGGGCACGAGATTCTGGGCACAAACGCCTGGTGTATTTTCCAACTGCCAATTCAAACAGTGCAGTCAGCCTTGTAGGACTGACTCCCCTAACCACTAGCCATAGGCCTGGCCCAGAACCATACTGCATACCAAACTGTCTGGCAATTAAAAATACCTGTGTTTATTGAAACCTTAACCACGTGTGCTGGGCATCCCGCTCCACGTTGGGTAATGTAACAGAAGGGTTTAAATACCAGAACGTCGTGTGTCACTCAGACAGCTCCGTGCTTTCCTTCCTCTGGTTTTCACTCAGTGAGGAGCTGCAGGACGCACTGGGCGTGACGGATAAGAGCCTTCCACCTTTCATCTATCGGATGCGGCAGCTGGGATACCCACCAGGATGGCTCAAAGAGGCTGAGCTGGAGAATTCAGGGCTTGCACTCTATGACGGAAAAGGTGGGTAGTGCGTTGGGTTAGATGAGTCTGCTTACGGCTAACTTCACCTTTACTGGAGAAAAGAGTCGACAAAATGTGATAGGAATGGCTGGCTGGCTTGTTTAGTTTGTGTCAAATTAACTGGAAAACATGTTGCTATTTCATTTGTTTTACAAAGGAGAAACTAACTCTCAGATGGCCCTCTGGCCTCGCTCAGAGTGTCGCTGCTCCAGCGCGGCCTCATAAGCTCTTGCGTTTCCCAGTTACAGGAACAGGAACAGATCCGTCAGTGTCGGGCTGTCACCGGTCCCGTACTGAGTGCTGGCTGCTGCTGCTGCACTGACTGGCCGCATTCCCGGGCCCCCAGACAGGCTAGGCAAGGCGGAACGTACCTGTAATCTGCATACCTGTGATCCCAGCTGTTTGAGAAGCTGAGGCGGCAGGACGCACAAGTGTGTGTGCGCACACGTGCAAGTACACAAATGGAGAATATAGAAGGCTTTTTTAAAAAACAAAACAAAACACCTTTAGCCTGGTGGTTAAAGGAAGCCAGATCCCACGTTGCCAGCCATTGTTGGACTCCTGGCCAGATGGCTTAGAAAATACGCTGTGTGCATGTGCATGCGTTCTTCAAATCCTGGCAGGATAGGAAAATGCAGGGGGAGGGATTGTGGCATGACCACCTCCATTGGTGGATGCTTTCTCTCTCTCCCTCTCTCTTCCCCTTTCTCTCTCACTGTGGACAAGCACACGCGCCCTCTGGCAGTTAAAGGCAGTGTTCTAGGTAACTTTCACATCATGGGGCCATTGGTTTCAAATTAAAAACAAAAAATCCACATAGATGAAAAAATGCTTTGTTTTCTCTGAGGAATTATCAAAGTATTGTTAAGAGGCCCTAACCAGAGCCATTCAGGGCTGGATCTCACATGGCCGACTGTGCAGTTCAAGTCCCAGACCTGGTGGCTTAGAAAGTACACTGAGGGGACCAGCAGTTAACGTAATGGCTATGTCGCTGGACTCCCACGTAGTCGACCGCGGTTTGCGTCCTGGACCCGGTGGCTTAAAACTCACACCGGGGGCGTGTGCATGCGTGCCCAAGATCCTGAGAGGAGAATGGAGGAGAAGGGATTGCAGTGTGGCCATCCCCCCTGGGGGATGCTTTCTCGCTTTCTCTCTGTCTTTCTCTGTCTGTCTGGCGAGCACATGCGCCCTATAGCAAAAACCTCTTTAAAAAAAAAAAAAGTATACTGAGTATGTGTGCATTCCCAAAATCCCAAGAGGAGAGTGGAGAAGGGATTCCAGCATGGCCATCCCCCCTAGAGGTACTTTCTCACTTTGCTTCTTGGTCTCTTTCCAGTTAGCACATATGCCCTATAGCAAATTTTTAAAAAAGAAAGACAGAGGGACCAGCAGTTAGTGTAATGGTTATGTCACTTGACTCCCATGTAGTCAACGACGGTTCGCGTCCCGGACCTGGTGGCTTAAAACTCACGCCGGGCGTGTATGTGTGCATGCCCAAGATCCCGAGAGGAGAATGGAGAAAGGATTGCGGAGTGGCCATCCCCCCGGGGGTGATTTCTCGCTTTCTGTCTGTCTCTGTTTGTCTCGAGCGTGTGTGGCCTGTAGCAAAAACCTCTCAAAAAAAAAAAGAGAGAGAGAGAGAGATAAAGAAAATGAAAGAGAGGTGAGCAGATAAATATTTCAATAAGTGGTCAGGTAAGGCCCTGGGTCAAATTGAGATGGGTCTTGGTGAAGGCCTTTTTTTTCTTTTCTTGTTTAATTTTGTCAGAGGTCATGTACAGTCCTGGCATTTTGGGCATGAGACTTTGGGCGCAAATGCCTGGTATATTTTCCACCAGCTGATTCAGATAGTGCAGTCAGCCATGTGGGCTCCCACCCCTTAGCCTGGAGGCCACAGGCCTGGCCCAGAACCATACCTGTCTCGTGTTTCAGTGTACCTCCGAGCATGCAGCTCAGTGCCTGGCGTGTGGTGCGTGTTAGTTTTTGAAGACCCTGACTCGTGCAGTGATGCTGTAGTGGTAACCCCTGAGAAGGGAAAGGTTGGGCTGAAGACCAGGGCATCTCCCAAGCTCTAAACGTTTTTAAATGAAGATGTTCTGTGTACTGCTTACATAATTAAACATACAAGTATTAAAATTCACCCCTCCTTCCCCTTTCCAAATAGAACCAGACATGGTTGGCATGGTCTTTTTAGTATATCCCAAACTCATACTAACATTCAGATTATTACTCTTACTGTTTTCTGCAGGTATTTGCAATCTTATCTCTGTCCCCCCTTCGGTTTAGTGTATTCATTTCAGTATATATTCTTTTAGGAAAATTGAGGGTAGCGTCTGGACTCTAAATCTAGAGAGTCCCTTTCATTGTTTCGGACAAAACTCTGGAGCGTTTCCAGGGTTCTGCCGGTGCAGCCCCTGCTGTCTAGCGTGTTCGCCTTCCCTCTCTTTCCTGTGAGTTACAGTGAAAGCTGTCAGGAGTGATCATTGCCTACGTCTGTTAGTTAATGATGGACTGCAAAATGGTTATTCTCATCCTTCCTCCTTTTTTAACTAGAATACTTAAATAAAGAGACAGTCCCCTCATGAATTGTTTGATTATCTTACGTATGTAATATATAGACATTAGAGGACAGGCAAAATGAATGCCTGATTAGTTTTAAAAATTAAAGTGATTCCCAAGTGTCCTTCAAAGATTTCTCTCATGTGTAAAGTAGGTTTTATTATTATTTTTATTTTATTTTATTTTTATTCACGATAGAGAACGTGGGCTTGTGAGATTGAGAGAGAGAAAAGCACCCCCCACGGGGCTCGGTCACGCCACGAATCCCCTTCCTCCAGCCCGCCAGGATCCTGGGCCTGCGCACACACACCTGATGTGTTTTCAGGCCAACCGGGCCGGGGACTGGAACTGCAGTCGGTATGTGGCTTCCAGCTCACAGTCCAGTGTGCACCGACTGCACCACAGAGGCTGGCCTGTAACGCAGCCTGAATAGTACGTACCTCTTAGGGCTCTCAGAAAGCTTTACTGAGTTAGTTAATGTTTGTAGATCGCTTAAAACACTATCTGAACATTTTAGTAAGCATTATATAAATGTGTTTTTTGTTTACTTGCCAGAGGAAATGTATACTGGCCAGAGTGACAGAGGGAAACAGACATCCCCCACAGGGCGTGGTCATGCTCCAATCCCTTTTCCATTTTTTCTTTTGGGACTCTGGGCAGGCATGTACATGCACCTGGCTTGTTTTTCAGGCTGTGGGCCCAAGACCCAAATTGCAGTCAGCCATGTGGAATCCAGCTCCCTTAACCACAAGGCCAAGGACTGGCCTTATATGAATGTATATTTACTGATTAAAAGTATTGAAATAGAGCTTGAAATAGATCACATCAGTGCAAAACAGACTTAAGCAACCCACAAAGAACAGTTCCCTAGGATTTTTAAATGTTTTATCAAAGTAATGTGTCCACATTGTTTAAAAGGACTAAGGACTTACAAAAATCATAATTAAAGCCATTCCCAGACTAATTCCTTTGCTATGAGTATACATACTTTCCAGGTGGACTTTTGGTCTGGGGTGGGATGTGCAGTGCATTTACAATATTAATTAACCTTCGGTGGTCTGTGACAGATGGTGCTGATGGGGAGACAGAAGTTGGAGAAGTACAACCGAATAAAAGTGTCACTTACGATCTCTCGAAATTGGTAAACTACCCAGGTTTTAATATATCTACTCCCAGAGGAATTCCGGATGTGAGTATATTGTGTGTGTGTGTGTGTTTTTAATTAGTATTCTGGGTTGTAATGTTATGTTAGAGATTTTTCAAAATTAAATTTATATAGTACTTACTGTTACCTAAGGAAGTAAGTTGTACTTACATATGTAACTTTTTTGGGGGGGAGAGGGTTTTGCTATAGGGCGCATGTGCTCGCCAGGAAGACAGAGACAGAGAGATAGAAAGCAAGAAATCACCCCCCAGGGAGGGATGGCCATGCCACAGTTCCTTCTCCTCTTAGGATCTTGGGCATGCACGCACACGCCCCCGGCGTGAGTTTAAGACACAGGGTCTGGGATGCGAACTGCAGTCGGCTGCATGAGAGTTCAGCAACATAGTCATTATGCTAACTGCTGGTCCCAATGTGTAACTTTTTTTGAGAGAGAGAGTTTTGCTATAAGAGCACACGTGCTGGGCGGAGAGACAGAAAGCAAGAAATCACTCCCCTTGGGGGATGGCCACACCGTAATCCCTTCTTCTCCATTCTCCTCTTGGGATTTTGGGCATGCACATACACACGCTCAGTGTGAATTTTAAGCCTCTGGGTCCAGGACTCAAACTGCAGTGGGACTGTGTGGGTCCAGCAATGTAACCATTTCGCCATCTGCTGGTTCTCATGTGTAACTTTTTAACTGAACGTTGTTAAGCACCTTCTATTCATCAAAGTCTTGGTGTTTTTTGTTTTTGTTTCCTTGTGTTTTTTATTTCTTCATTCATGCCCAAAGGAGCTAAAAGAATGTGGTTAGTCTATACATTTAAAGCATTCTAAAATTAATTTTTAAAAAATGGGGTAGTTCTCAGACAATATTATAAATGTTGCAGATGACAATAAACCTGAGTATACTGTAACTCTTTCTCCTATTCTTTCTTCCCTTTTCCCCCTCAGTGTAAAATTTCTCCCTATGTATAGGAGTGATTTTTTCACACTCTTT